GCACAGGCCGGCGCCGCCTCGGGGTCCGCGCCGGAGCCGCTGCAGCTCATGGGGCTGGTGGGAGAGGCGGCGAACAGAGCCGCTTCCGCTTCCGCTCGCCCAGGCGCACGCCGCGTGACGTTACAGTTCCCGCCCACCACTCTGGGCGGGCCTGCAGCCCGCACAGTTCTGAGGCCGCCTCACCAGGCGACCTCAAGTTGACTGTCGACGAATTAGGTGTAGACTGCGAGGCGGAGGTCAGCTGTGAGCGATAATGGCCGTCACCCCGCGCGGTTCAACTCACGCCCGAGTGGGGCCGCCGAGCATCCAGGACTCTGCACACTTCGCCTGGGTGCAGACTTTACTTGGGGGCTCATCGGTCAGACACTTCTCCATTGTCAATCTCCTGACAGCCTTTATTCTTTGTAGTTTCCTTAGCCGTTTAAGGGTTGAAGTGGATTTGGTGAGCGTCCCTCCCACCCACAACGGTCCTAGGAATGCGCTGCTGTAAATGGAGAGAGACGGGTGTTTCATCCTGAAGAAACAGCATGCCAAAGTCACAGCGAGTGAAGCGTATTTGCAATTCAACAGTCATTTATTTAATTCCTAATTGCCAGCTACTGGGCTGGGGTCTAGGAATACAGAGTTAAGTAGGATAAGATTCTGGCTTCCTAGCAACAATGGTCTGGGAAAAAAAGGAAAAGGATTCAGTACTGACGATTCAGTACTATATGGCTTCCCGGCTACATGTAGGTACAGTGCAGGGAAGAAAGGGAGCTAATATCAGTTGCCTAATTCCAAGTGTCAGATATTATCAATGTTTATTCTCTGATTTTGAAGGCCGGTTTTGATGCCCGTGACTTTTACCCAGTAATCTTCAAACAGTTTGTACAAGTAAATATACTCCTTGATCTGGAAGATGACTTACCCATGGGTGGGAAGTCAAGGGCTTTGAAAGTGACTCCCCACCCCAAGTGCTTCCTGAAGTTTAGAGGAAAACAACATGAGCTCAAAGCTAATGCAGCTGCAGTGGAGATGAAGAGGTTGTGTGTGTGTGTGTGTGTGTGTGTGTGTGTGTGTGTGTGTACATTTTTGAGGCAGGGTCTCACTATGTAGCCCTGGCTTGCCCCATGTCTCTATGTAGACCAGAATGGCCTCAAATTCACAGAGACTTGCCTTCCTCTGCCTCCTTAGTGTTGGGATTAAAGGTGAGCACCACCATACCAGCTGATAAAGATGTATTTGAAAGGGAAAGTCAGTAGAACTTGTTGGTTAAAGTTAATAAGGAGGTGAAAAAAATGAGTTAAGGGCTATAGGTTTTTGAAAGAGGCATTATATTGTAGTGGCATTTCACTTGCATTTTAATAAATAAAGCTCACTTGGGGATCAGGAAAGTAAAACAGCCACACTGGCCAGTAATAACATACACCTTTAATCCCAGTAGCCACACTGGTTGCCTTAGAAATCGGGTGGTGCATGACTTTAATCCCAGTGGTGCACATCTTTAATTCAAGAACTAGAGAAGATTATAAGATGAAGGAGAAGCTCTCACACACAGGCTCATTCTGAGATTCCTGGAGGCAGGGTCGTTATTTAGGACTGAGGTCAAGGTAGAAGCAAAGGACTGGGTGCTTTGCTTTTCGGATCTTAAGACTGAACTCCAATTTCGCTCCCTGAGTTTTTATTAATCGTGCTTCATTGTATCATATACCAAGAGATGAAATAGTTGAGGTTTGGCTAGTAGGAAGATGAAGTATTGAGGTATCTTACATTTGAGGTATCAATCACTATGATATAGATGTCAGGGATTTGTTTGAGGGGTGATGAATGACATAGGAGCAAGAAACTAAGGCTGGAGCAATGAAGAACACCTGAATCCCCCGAGTTAGCCGAAAAGGAGGAAAACTGGTATGGTTAGAGTGGGTATGTGCTAGAAGCTAAGGAAAAAGGAAACTCATGGAAAGAGCAAAAACCCGGGTTCACAGAAGCTAGATGTTTGTGAATATCTAACAGCTGAAATAAAACCAAATGTTGCTTTACTGTAGCCAAGAAGTGGGAAATAAAATGTAAATTTTTAAAAATGACAAAAAATGTTGAAGCAAAATATAAACATGACAGTCATTTGTAATGACCTATTTATTTTGTTGAGAAATTTTGCCAATGAGAACCTATTTAAAACACTTTGAATTTACAAATTTTTAACTTTCTTTAGCTTATGAGATTGTTGGCAACCTGTTCTTAAAAGCAAAAACACAAAACAAAGACTGAGATGTGTATACTGGGTAAAATGTCAGGGAGACCATTTCAGCTCAGTGCAAGGGGAAGAAAGACAAAACAATGCAAGGTCTCATCAGAGTAAACGGAGAAGGAAATGTGAAGAGAAATAGAGCATCCAGTCAGTGCAGAGGTGGACGGACCTGATGATATCAGGAATGGGAGGTAACAACCCCATCCTCCTTTCACATCTCAAGTTGGAAAGAGGAAGAGATGGTGAAAGGGTGAGATGAAATATGCTGGTTAGCATCTTGTTGCGTTAGGAGACCTGAGTTTGATGGAGCACAGCAGGGTTGGGAGTCAACCCTGCTACAGCATTTGAGGGTTAGGGAAAAGATGTTTGCAGGAGGCAAGCATTAAGAGTTTAGCAGGGCTTCCATTGAGCAAGAATAAGTGGCTAAGCCTTCTCCTGTAGCACAGGGGACAATTGTGCTTTCCCAGCAGGAGAGGGTCAAGGGTTGAGTAGAGTCTTCAGTAGGGCTGGGAAATTGGGTGTTCCCCAACCTGTCACTGGATCCCACCCAGGACCAGAGCAGAAACCTTGACCTTCCACTTCTTCATTCAGACAGGACTCATGGCAGCCATGGGTTACCTGGGAGGAGGTGGTGGGCATCAGATCTGGGTCTGCTGGTACCCATCCTCCTAGACTGTATCTCATTTATATTCATATCACAGAGAAAACCCCATATAGCAGAAGTGCCCCAAGTTCATGTTAGCCCTTTCCATATCCTATGAGAACATCCATCCCTTTGCTCCAACACTTACATCAAAGAGTCCTGCTCCATGCTGCTGATAGAGCCGGGGATTGAGGAAGCCAAGAGGGGGGCGGCCATTGAGGATTCTGTGCTCATTTATCAAGGATAAAATTCCCCCAAACACTGGAGTAGAGGCCTGCAAGATGGAGATGCAAGAATAGGTCAGGGTTTCAGAGTTACAAGACTTTTGAGGAATGATACTTGCAAAGATCAGAAGTCTCTAAGGAGTCAGGGGTTCTAGGTGCCAGATTTTGTAGGTAGAGGGTTTAGAGCTAAGCTGATTCTCACCGAGGTTCCAGATACCCATGGAATGGGGACCTTGTTGCTGACTACCCAGTAGCCGTCAGAAAGTGCAGCAACATCTGGGTAGGCACGGCCACTAGCATTGAAGTAACTAGACGGTGGTAGATGAGAACTGGACTTCAAGAACCGGGCCACTGCTTCCTCCTGAAGGACATTTCTGAGTGTGAGTATTGATTGGCCAGTAGCTTATTGAGCAGGCTGCTGGACTGAGGATTACTCCCCCCCGCCCATCCTCCATATATCCACATGAACATGCACAAACCTGGTATGAAGGCTGTGGGAAAACATTGCTGAAGCCTCCACCACTGATATAGTCAACTATTTCATTTGTGATGAGGAATGGATTCCTGAACGAGGTGCCGCCTACTGTAGTGACATAGGGGCTAAGGAGAAGACAGTATTCAGACAGTGGATGACTCCCAAGATGTGTGGAGGTGGGTGGGTGTGCTCTGCGTCTTACTGGAAAAGGGAGTGAAACTGTGGAAACCTGCATACAGAGTTTACTGAGAGCTTGAACGCTCTCAAGATACGACTTGAGTTGACTTACATAGTTTTTTACATGAGAAACAAAATCCTGTAACTAAAATGCCTAGAGACTAAGAAAGAAAAATATTGGTGGCCATTTTCTGCTCAGGAGTCTAGTAGCCTGGGACATATAGGAAGAAAAGAGGGGAGAACAACAATCAAAACAGGTAAAGCTGAAGGTTGTGTCATAGCAGCTCCTGGTGGGGGTCAAAGTAACAAGTGCAAGATTTGCAGGGTGCTTACCTAGAAGCAGGGAAGCTAGGACGGAACTTGTGTCTTCCGGAGACAGACCAACATCCAGCTCCAGTGTCACCTGGGAGAGACAGTAAATATTCAGATTAGTTGGTGAGAGCTTAGGATATAGGCTCATATGCCAGAGAAGAAATGCAGGTGCCACCTCTTACTGCAGGTCAGAGTTTACAGGTCATGGCAGTCCCTGTTAAGGCTCTGAGTTCCTATTAGGAGGCAGAAACCAGGCTGAAGTGTCAGTTGGGGCAACACGTCCAGGTTGGATAGATGGGAAGTCTGAGTTTAGGGTAGAAGGTTACCTGAGGCAAAAAGTAGAGTGAGACCCCGAGCAGCGGCCTTCATGAACTCAGTGTTGACTCTTTGGATGTAGATGCTGCTGAGGGAGTCTTCATCATCTCCATAACTCACAGTATGTACATGTGGCAAGGTTGACTGATTGCTGAGAAGCAGGAGCCACTGCAAGAAGGGCTCCTGTGCTTCATGCCGACCTGGATTGTTTTAATGGAAGG